TTACTCTTAAAAATATCCTATTACTTTCTGGGGGAGGGTTTGTAAAACAATGAAAGAATTTTTCTTTTACTTTTCCAAAAGGGTAGTGTACTGGGGGAAAGGTTGGAAGGGGTGAAAAGTGCAACAGTGAATGAATGGAAACAAATAAACAAACATATCCTATTACTTTCTTCTCATTTTATAGAAGAGGCTAGGTTATCAATTGCCATTGAACTGATTCCAACTCCTGGAGACCCTATGGGACAGAGGAGAACTGCCCCATAAAGTTGCCAAGGTTATAAATTGTTCCAGAAGCAGAGTGCCTCACCTTTCCCCAGAGATTATCTGATGAGCTTGAGTTACTAATCTTTCACTTAACCACCATGCCCCCAGGGTTCTCTGACACCTACGGGTCAGATCACTACTCGAGGCTGCTGCTTTAGAGTGATCTTAAATTACAATACTAATTTTAAAATACTGTACATAGTTAAAAGAAAATATGAAAACTATTATTATTGGTAATAACCTTCTATGCTTGTAGAGCTATAGGTTAGACCTGTAGGCTGTGACCTTGAAAAATGATACATGAGGCTAGAAGCTAAAGGTAAGTGTAAGGCACTTACATAAGAAACGCTAGCAATGTGGACAGTTAGTTGATAAAAATATATTTCGTTTGCTAGGGAGTAATTATAGGTCACCTTTAAAGAATCTAAAACCACACAGATGCCAGATTATATGTGTCACAAGCTGTCAAAAACGTTTTCTATCGACCTGACATTGTCCAGGGATTGTTCCAAATCCACATAATCTTACTGATTGCTGTTTACATTAGGATTTTGCAACAGCAGATGTATGCATAAAGATACATCCTGTCATGCAGCTCCCAACTGGCCTGCCTCAGAGTTGGCTGCGGGGAGCGAAGGTCAGGAACACTTTCTACTCTTGATATGGATTCAGCATACTAGTTTTCACACGAAGGCAATTGCCCAAATGCTGAATACTCGTACAATATTTGGAGTGCCATCTGTTCTTCTCTCCTTAAGCCACTCAGAAAAACTCAACAAGGCAAGGGAAAGCAGCTACAGAAAGGAAGGTTTCCAGGACTTTACAAATCATACCCAAAGAACACACAGTAATGAGTAATCTATGAGTGTGCTGCAAAGGAGAGGAAGGCTAAGATCATAGGAGAAGATGAAAGTTAAGCTCTGAATATGTATGACACATGGATTGCTGGTGGGCACAATGTCTCTTTTGGGGCCAATGGAAGTGTTTGAAAATAAGATAGTCATGATGGCTATATCATTCTGCAAATATACCATTGTGTTATATTCTTAAAACATATGGATTTTATAGTGTATAAATTATATCTTAATAAAACTTTTGGGAAAATTGGATGAAGAAGGAGAAACTTTCTAAAGAGTCAGACAAAACTCATGGCATGGGCAAGTGAAAGTGAATTCTAATACCTACTCCGGGATATTTAGAGACATTCTCTTAACGATGAAGGTGTGATTATTCATAGTCCAAACTACAGTGTGGTACTAATAGATGGATTTAAAAAAATTCCTCTCAAGTAGCTCTTTCCAATATAACATTAATAATTAAGTGATTTTCATTGACATACAATATTGCCCACTTGATCGTAAAAAAAAAAAAAGTCTGAGTTAATGCTGATACAGTTTTTTAACTGAAACATCAACTGGTGGCCTAGAGGTTAAGAAGGTGAGCTGCAATCCCAAAGACACACAATTTGAACCCACCAGCTTCTCTGTGCCAGAAGGATAGGCAATCTCCTCCCATGTGTGCTCTTTCTTGCTGCTGAAAACCTACCTGCTGGAGGGTCAGCTACAAGTCAGTTCTGACTTCACAGTACACAATGACAACAACAGATACAAAATAGAGACCTACTGAATAATGTAGACTCCTTTAATGAGGATTGAATTGCATTCTTATCTATTGGAAATATTTTAGAAAAGTGAAATCTAAATGGGCAGTGTTAAAAACATTACCTATTAAAATTGCTTCATAAAGTTGCTGATCCACTCTCTTAAGAAGCTGTCTCCTCACTTTCTCCCCATTGTTTCAAGGTTGTGATTGGCCAAATAGATTTCCCCCCCCCCATTTACGTATTGATGTTTCATAGGCCAGCAGTGATACTCTTTTAGAAACACAAAACATGGTAAGTCTAGAATTTATAACTAACACATCATCCACAGTTTCAAGTATCTGGAAAAATGAAAGCTGCTATGTTTGTCCACCACTTTCATTTCAGAACGTCTTTTTTGATAGATAAAGGTTAATATAGATTGAGTGATCAACAAGCAGAAAGCATCTTTAATTTCAAGGTAGCTTAATTTTCAAAATTTGCTTAGCTCAATTACTGATCTCCCAGATAAATGTTTACCAAATAGTCAGCTAATTACCCTGAAACAAGTGATTTCAATACATTAGGAAGGCAAGAGGCATATTGGACTTAATTATTGTACCTATGAAATTATTACTAATTGTGACATTAAAACATTGTCACAAGCCCAAAACAAATATTTTTTTCCTTTTAACTATAATTGTACTTGATTTCAATATTTATATTAATTACTATATTTCAACAAAATAAATATCTTTGGTCAGGGATAGGCTAAACAGGAAACTAAATCCCAAGGTGTTGAATAGAAAATGAGCCTGAGAATATGATCAAAGCTGACAATAGCTGAGGCAAGGACAGAATTAACTACCTGTTTCTTTCAGCAAACATTAGGTTTTCAATCCTTGTTGATAACATCAGAGATTTTTAGAATGCATCAGAGGATTTTTTAAAGTTCAAGTGACTGCCTAAGACTCATGACTTTTTTGCATGGGCTGTCTGTAACCAAATTTGACATTTACCTTAAATTACAAATTAGAGATCAAAGAGTATTTGCTTTTCCAAGGTAGAAAATATTTATTTATTTATTTATTTTGCCATTTCCCCATGGACTCTTGTAGCTGAAACCTCCTGGGGGGTTTCAGAGGCTGTAAATAACAAGGGTGGAAATTACTGATCTTCTCCTTAGTGAGTTCGAAGCTCAACTCCTTGTTTTTTTGGGCTGGAAGTACAGCTCCTTATTGCTAGGCCACCAGAACTCATGCAATTTACCAAACAGAAAATCGTTAATTACCCTTGAGTCAATTCCAATTCACAGTAATTCTATGAGATAAAGTTGAACTGCTGCATAGGGTTTAGAAGGCTATACATTTTATGCATGTAGTTTTAGATTCCTACATCTTTCTCCTGTGGACTGGCTGGTAGGTTTGTATGACTGACCATTTGATTAGCAGCTGAGTTGGCAGTGCTAATTCTTACCATTAAGCCACCAGAGTTCCCCTGAATAGAATATACTAAGAAATTCAGATTGAATGTTCTTGGGATCCAAGATACTGTATAGGCACAGTAACATAGAAACATTAAGTGAATCAAGAAATAGATATATATGGTAAGGAGTTGTGCTTCCAAACAAAAGACACATGGTTCAAGTCCACCTGTTGTTCTGCAGGGGTAAAAAAGGCAGTCTCCTTCTGGGCACTTTGTTGCTGTTGTTAGGTGTCATTGAGTTGGGTAAAATTCCTAGTGACCCTATCTGAACCTCACAGTCTTTGACACACTCAAGCCCATTACTGTAGTCACTGTCAGTCCACCTGGTTGAGGGCCTTTCTCTCCCTCATCATCACTCTACCTTCCCAATCATGATGACTCTCTCTCATGAATAGCCTCTCCTACCGACATGCTCAAAGTATGTGACATGGCGTTTCACCATCCTTGACTTCAATGAACCCTCTGGCTGTACCTTGTGTGAACTTTACTGCCTCTAAAGACCCACTAGAGGGTGAGCTCTGAGTTGGTTCCTGCTTGGCTGTCCACAACAGTAGCTTTAAAAGGAGTTTCTGTCAGAAATTTACTTGGCCACGTGTATTCCAGAAAAGACAAGTAATTGTTTTGTATATTGCAATTTTAATTGTTCTAGTTTACCTAGCCCTGCCCCTATGGACTTTCTGTCTTTTTAAGTTAAGCAAATGTTGTTGTTATGTGCCATCATGTCACTTGCTCTGAACCCTGCTCTATCCTGAGCCAACTTTATCATCCCTGACACACCTCATTACCCCAGTCACTGAGTCAATCCATCTCATCCAGGGTCTTCCTCTCTTGTGCTCTTCCTCCACTCTCTCAAGCATGAGGTCCTTCTCGAACAACTAATTCCTCTTTTGAATCATCTACAATGTTTCAACAGAATCTTGGTGTTTTATCATTTTTCACAAAATAAGAGCCCGAGTGTGACTGTTTATAGTGCATGTACTTCTTTTCAAAGTGCTGAGCTCAGTCTAATGAGTTTTACTTAGATTCCCACATTAAAAAACCATTGGATCCCATGAAATGAATGGTGATATATGATAATGAAGTAATTAAATTGGACACCCCCCTTATAAAATAACACTCAGAAGTTGTATTCTGCAGTTTTATGTAGCATTTGGTTTCTGCTACTTAATTTTCAATGATTTTAAGGAAAACAGAAAATTCCTCACAATAAACAGCAGAATTATAATACTTCACATTTAATCTATGCAAACAAACAGCCTATAGTTTAACATGAATAATAACATCTCTGCAAACAGCTAGCTGATAGTTTATAATAAATTATAATCTAGAAGCTGAGCCTCCATATAAACATTGTTCACAATATTTCTATTTACCTGCTGACTAACCCAAGCTATTTAATTTTAATTTATGTATGAAAATAGAAACTGAGGGGGGAAATATTACAGCAAGGCTCCCAAGAAATGTGAGAGAAAATATTCCAAGTAAATAAATCAGTGTACAGGTATACTTTAAAATTATTCCCAAAGCATTTAAATATTCTCATTTTAGTTAATGATAAAGGAAAAATTAATATACCACCAAAGAGTTAGTATATCTGTATTTGGCATTGAAATGAGTACATTTTAACTGCTATGTCTCATGACTTATCCATGAGGCATAACAGTACTGGTACCTGCTCAGCTCTGCTGTGGTGCTGGTGTTGGTGTTGGTACTGAGAAAAGATATTCTGGGAAGAAGCCACTTCGTCCTTCTCAAACTGCCTCTTCACCCTGGCCAAGCCACCAGGCACCGTGCACATGGCTGATTCCTCCATCATCTAAGGTGATTGATTTTAAAAAAAGAAAGAAAAAGAAAATTCAACTTTATATTTGCCACAGAATGGAATTCCCAATTTAAAAAAACATAGAGTAGACATTTATTTAAAGTTGTTATCACAAAAAAAGAATTCATTAAAATTTATAATTAGTTCAGTAGGCTCTTACCCAAAACTATAAAAATGGTTTCTCTGTGTTATTTTATTGTTTTTTAGCCTTGAGAAATAAAGTTAAGAGAATCTTCAAAATACTCAATTCTCTTTACTGCAGATAAATTTTGATATCTGAATAGCCACTCTGAACTCACTGCCATCAAGTCAGTTCTGACTCATAACAACACTATAGGACAGAGTTGAACATTCTCATAGGACTTCCAAGGTTATAAATCTTCACTGAAGCCAACTGCCATGTTTGTCCCCCACAGAACAACTGGGGGGCTCAAGCTGCTGAACTTTTGTTTGCAACCAAGTTTTTTTAAACATGGTACCACAGGGCTCCAAATATTATGCAAGAACATTCTAATAGATCTAATATAGGTTATATGAGTGTATTTCTATAATACATAGAATAGTGGATTTATTTTTACTTAAAATGAGATCATTGTTAAAATTCAAAGAACCCATACTGGTAACACATTGTTAAAGATGTCTATCAAAATCACTTAACTCACTCCAAACTGTATTTAAATCATTAAAGATTGATGAAATAAAGAACTTCAGAACATTGCTTTTGCAAAAATACTAACAGCAGAAATCAGAATGGCTAGTTGCGGCACTGTGTTCAGTGATTTTGTATGTCTTTCACATGCATTCTTTCATTTCATACTCCCCATATTCTAGGAGATCTGAAAACACTTAGCCTCATTTTTCAAAGATTAATTTGAAATTTGAAAAGTAAGACATTTTTTTAAGTCCTCACAACTAAGATATGAGTGTTGGAGCTAAAATGTGAACACCAATCCATCTGTCTTTGTGACTAGCCTCAAAGGACAGACAGAAAAGCAAGAATTACTACTCCAAGATTGGCAGCTGTGAGCACTGGTGTGTGAAAAACAGGGGTTTTTAACATTAGAAAGGTTCTAGTCTAGCATGTCACTTTACAGATGAGAAAGGGAACAACTTGAAAAACACTTGAGGAGTCCTGTCTGAATTTATGCCCCTTGGGAAGTACAGAAGCAGCCCAGGGCCTTTGGTTTTGATGATTTAGCATTCTCAGAGCCCAGGAAGTATTCAAGCCCAGATGGGATGACAACTCTCAAGCAAACCGCTCCCCTGTCTGCCTGCCAAAGCAGGTCTCCTGAGGTCTGACCCAGACCTGATATTACCTTGGACATTCTGAGACCTGAACTCACCGGTAGCTCAAGACTGTGGTCTCAAACCATTGGCTGTCAACTCTTGGGGGTCCTAGAATCTTTAACCAAATATATTGTTTATCAAACAGAAGAATTTTTCTCATACTTAGAAGTACTGTAAAGTATTTTATTTTTACTTTCAAAAAATACTCTTTGTTTATCATGCTCAATGTTCTCATATATATGCGGTATATTATTCTGTAATATAAAGATAATACATTATTTTAACGTAATAAGTATAAACATTAGTTTAATTTCTATTGTTAAAAAATCACGTGGAGTACTATATCTACCTATCCTACTTTTCTTGTATGTTGTACACATAAATATGAAAATTATTAACAGATTATAGGTGGCTTCATGAGATTGCCTCAGCATTTTATTTTTTTTTACAAAGCCTTCACCTTTATTTTTTAAATTTATTACTGAATGTTCCATGGACTGCCAAGAAAACAAACAGATTCATCCTAGAGAGGGTTAAACCAGGCTACTCCTTGGAGGCAAGGATTCTGGGTCTTCGTCTGACATACTTTGGACATTTGTAAGGAGAGGCAGGTCTTTAGAGAGGGACATCATGCTGGGTAGAGTGGAGGGACAGAGCAGGAGGGGAAGATCCTCTATGAGGTGGATTGATTCAGTGACTGGGGTAATTGGGATGGGTGTGTCAGAAGCAATGAGATTGGCACAGGATAGAGCAGGGTTTAGGGCTGTTGTACACAGGGTCACTATGAGTCGCAAATGACTCGACGGCACATAACAACAACAACAACAATTATTAATTTCAATGAAAATTTACAGAGACTTTGGATTTTCATTCATTCATTGTTGCATTTTTCTCCCCTCCCAACCCTCCTCCCGATTATACTACTCTCTTGGTAAAGTGAAAGAAAAATTCTTTCATTGTTTTACAATCCCTCCCCTCAGGTCCACTCCACTATGCAGCCTTCACTCTGGACTCCTGTCATGACAAAACTACCTAATCACATATCCCTTTTAAACAGTTTTCTCCCTCATCTGTTTCAATGTAGTATACATTATTGAACCCATTTATCTCAGTCCCCTCCAAATCCGAGGTCAGTCCTGTTTTACAACAGTGACATCATGCAGTATTTGTCCTTTTGTGACTTAGATACTTCACTCAGCATAATGTCCTCCAGAGTCACCCATTTTTTTAAATTTTATTATTTTTGTGTGAGTGTACCGTCAAATCAGATCTGACAGGTACAGGAGGAGATTGTCCCTCCTTCCCCGGCAGAGCATCTGGTGGATTCGAACCGTGTGCTTCTGGGATTGTAGTTGCAGCTCCTTACCACTAGGCCACCAGAGCTCCCCTAAAAGTCACCCATTTTTAATAATATTACATTAGTTCCATGTTTTCAATGCAGCGTAGCATTTCATTGTGTGAATATACCACAGCTTCTCTATCCATTCATTGGTTGATGGGCACTTAGGTTGTTTCCAAGAAAGCCATGATAAATATGGGTGTGCAGTAAAATAAATTTATACTCCAGATTTTCTGAATGACTAGCAAATACTAAAGTGGTTGCTTTATCAAGTTCATAATATTTCCTCCTACAATGTAGTATCACATAGTTCATTGGTTCTACAAGCAGAGGAGAAAGATAGTATATTTATAAGCCCTAGATTTATAGTCTATTAAATTTTGTAAAAAAAAAAAAAGCTCTACAAATGAGAACCCTGGTCAATTGTTGCCATCTGATACATGGTAAGGGCAGGAGCATGTATAGAATCCTTTTGAAATTTAAGATACAGCAAAAAAGGGAAAGGGTGAATTAAGGCCACACTATTTCTTTCTCCCCCCTTTTTTGCCATCTAATTTACATAAAGGCTTTCTTTGATACATCATAAATAGACAATATGCTAGAATTAAAAGATATGAATGAAATTAAACATCAGTTAAAAAAATTAGTCATTCTAAACAATGCCCAAGTTAGATACAAATTAGTGTGGTAAACTTCAGAATTATACTAGGACTGGATCCTTTCCTAGTGCATGCACTTTTTGGGAGGAAAAAGAATCTCCTCTGTTCCTATAATAAACAGTTTCTCTCTCAGTTACCAGATGGATACTCACATTGTGTGGTTTGAAATTAGGCCACTTTACACATGCAAAATGATACTGTTGGTTATTTTTAATGGTAGTACAGTTATTACCACTCTATCTCTTGGTAATATTTAGTACACCTGCTGTTGCCCCAGGTAAGTGAGATAGGTCTTTAGAACTGCAGTTCGGTGGTAACATTCATAATTCAACTTGTAAATGAAACCTTGTATATGTCATATGTCAGGCCTTGCCTATGCACTGAGTGATACTACCTTGCTCACATGGGAATGTTGCCATGATTTTAAGTTCTAAGAGTCCTGGTGATGCAGAGGGTTAAGTGTTGGGCTGCTAACAGAGAGGCTAACAATTCAGAAATGCTATTTCCTGTGCAGGGGAAGGAGGGTTAAAAAATGAGGCATTGTTCCAGTTAAAATGCATAATCTGGGAAATCTGATGAAGGATACCTTGAGCCCATTTGAGTCTGTGGAAGTGGGTTTTGAAGCATGCTTTCTTTTAGAACCCAATTGCTTTAGTTGTCATCTTGTAGGCACTCACTTGTGGCAACCTCATCAGCTTCAGAGTAGAACTGTGCTCCGCAGAATTTCCAATGACTAATTTTTTTTTCTAAAAAGACCACCATACTATTCTTTTGAGATGTCTTCTGAGATTAGAACCTCTAACCTTTCATTTATCAGCCCATAGAATGAATGAATAACTGAATATCTTGGAATGCTCGGGACTGAATCTTTTTGTCGTCTAATTCTGTATTTCTTATTCTGTGATTCTCAGAAAAGTTTTGAAAACTGTATAAATATATCATCACCCACTTTCTTTACAAATTACTGTCATGTGTCTATAAGGTATAGTATAAATAGCATGGGATGTCAGAACCCTTAAAAACTGGCTTTTTAGCCACTGTGTTAATCTCTAGTGGGGGTGAGGGAGGTATGGTCTCCAGCTTCTTAAAGTGCAGACACATGGTCTTGCAAATCTTCAACAGCTGTGAGAATAATGTAAGAGAAACTTTCCACATTATGAGGGATGGTGGTGGAGAGAAGATGGAGGACTCTTGCACTGCTGTGAAAAGACTGTGGCAGGTATAACCAGAGGAACATTGGAAATGGAGCCACAGTCAAAAGTTATGCTTACTGGATAACTGAAGAAAAAGCTACCTTGTAACTGCTCTGAGATGAAGTTTGATGAATGATTAAGAAAACCAGAGGTTTATTTGTGCTGTTAAAATGAACCTGGACTGTCACTAATTGAAGAACTTTGCCTTATTATTCTGGCTTGGATTGCTGAACTAAACCTGGACTGGCTTGCAATGTGTGATATTCTTTTCCCTCCTCACTGCCTCACCCATTTCCCTAATAAACCCCGCCACTGTGAGTAAAGTCTATTACACAGTTTGCAACAAACATTGGAACTAATAATTGATAGAAACAGGTACAGGAGCATGGGGAGTAGTATGTCTGATCATGCAGCTATTTGTATGGTGCTATGTATATCATTACAACTGTTCCTCTTCCTTTGTATTTCCATACTTGAAAGTTCTACCTAGGTTTTATCCAGGAGACTGGGCTCTATGAGGAGAATTGTGGCATCAGGATTGGTGGAAGATCTATTAATAATCTGCGTTATGCAGATGATACAACCCTGCTTGCTGAAACTGAGGAGGACCTCATGCACTTGCTGCAGAGGGTCAAGGACTGCAGCCTTCAGTATAGACTGAGGCTCAATGTCAAGAAGACAAAGATTCTCACCACTGGACCAATTGGTAGCATCAGGATGGATGGCAAAGAGATTGAGATTGTTCACAGCTTCAGTTTGCTCGGCTCCATGGTCAACACTCTTGGCACCAGCAGTCAGGAAATCAAAAAACGTATTGCGATGGACACTAAGCTGTGCCTGATACAGGCCATGGTCTTTGCAATCACTTGTTATGCATCAGAGAGTTGGACAATGACTAGGGAGGACAGAAGGAGAATTAATGCCTTTGAGCTGTGGTGCTGGAAAAGAGTATTGAATGTACCATGGACTGCCAAGAAAACAAACAGATTCATCCTGGAGAGGATTAAACCAAGCAACTCCTTGGAGGCAAGGATTCTGGGGCTCAGTCTAACATACTTTGGGTGTGTTGCAAAGAGGGAGAGGTCCTTGGAGAGGGGCATCATTCTTGGGAGGGTGGAGGGACGGCGCAAGAGGGGAAGACCCTCTATGAGATGGATTAATTCAGTGACTGGGGTAATCGGGATGGGTGTGTCAGAGGCAGTGCGATTGGCACAGGATAGAGCAGGGTTTAGGGCTGTTGTACATAGGGTCGCTATGAGTCGCAAACGACTCGACGGCACATAACAACAACAACAATACCAACATGTATTTTATTAATGGGAACAGCTCCCCTTTATGAAGTGTGTAGAAGTCAGACTCAGCCTTTTCCATGTTACTACTGCTCCTCTCACATCACTTAATTTCAGAAAATTAGACAGTGATTCTAATCCTAGTTCTGCCATTTAAAGCCTTGAACAAGAATCTGAGAATCCTAGTTTTCTTTCTTTTAAAGTGGGAATAACAATATCTTCCTCATGATTTCTTGTGAATGATAGCAACATAAAAGAAATAAAATTGTGTAGCACAGAATCTAACATTTTAATTCATTGCTCAACAAGGGTTATGTCTCCCTTTCAGGGATTTCTACAGATCATGACTTTCATTCAGGTTCAACCAAATGTCCTGACTGAGTCTATGACGAAGAGAATCTGATCATAGTCAGCTACAGAAATATGTGAAACTCTCATGGATTTATTCTAGGGCAAAATCAGTAATTTATAGATTTTATATTTGAAGTTAGTTGTATAGCCTTAGTAAAATGAGTTTTTGTCATTTCTCCCCTACAGTTAAACAAGCACAAGACAATTTACCAGGCATGGCAGCTATTTTGCTGCAGGAATGTAGATGTTTGCCCATTTCTTTTAAACAGTATGTATGCCCTTCCTTCCAAAAATTTTATTTGGGATCAAGTAAGGTGTTGGTTGGGCCAGAAATTATTGTTTCTATGAAAGGAAACAACTGTATATACTTATAAATTACTGAAGTGAGATAAATAAATCTTGGCTTGATAACTACCCAGTTGTGTCTAAAAGTGCTATAAAGTCTGTTCTATAACGACAGTGACTATAATTATGTAATCCCCCATAAACTACTCAGTTTTCACATCTGCAAATAGGGCAGGAAAGAGTTTAAAGCCCCAGAAAAATGTTAAATATCTCATGATTAAATATTTGTGGACTGTGTTTAGATCTTTGATTTTTGTGTTGAATAGTGGGATATTTTAGGTTTTTGATGCGACCCTTTTTAAGTATAACTGAAATAAACACGATGCACTGATACAACTCTGTTTTATGGTATAGTTTTCCAATGTTTACCACAACCTAAGTCTTCCAAATAAAGGACTGTTACCAAGTAAATTGCATTTAGTTAGGTATTTCCAAATAAACTGTTTCCTAAAGTGTATATCATCAATAAAGAGCACTAATTTGTAGTAAAGTTCCACAATTATCCAGCAGGGGGTGCTATGGAAGCAGATTGGCTGGAGGTACTGGTGTGATGATTTGTTTTAGATTTGTGATCTTACTATTTATGTCACTTTGATACATTCATTCAAAATCTATGCTGTGTCTAAAATGTATTTTAATGACTATGTAAAAACCGAAATGTCATCTGGAATTGTAATATTGTTAATGAGCTTGGCACAGTCAGCCTTGCCTCTAAATAATTTGTAAAGAGTGCTAACAGTAGCTATTTTAAAACATCACTCTTTTGGGTTATTCATTCATCCACCATCCCTCTTGATTTCCTGTTTCTCAGTATATTTTTGTTGGATTCAAAGAACAACTTAGCTAATTTGAAAATTATAATTAAAAAAGAAATATCCTTATATTCCATTAAGCTGGAAAGCTCTGGCTAATAAAATGACTCATCACATCCCATGGATTGAAGGCCACAGATAGAGAGCTCAACAAATTCTTTTGAATATGCCTTTATTATGTATTGGCTCTAAAAACTGGTGGTCTTGCTGAATCCTGCAGTTTCCTATAATCATAATTGGTTTAGCACAGTGCCTCCATGGCTAATCTCTCTCATTTCTATGTTGATTAAGCTGCTCCTAATGGATTTAGTGCATACAGAGAAATGAGAAAAGCAAAAAAAATTATACTGCCGGTGCATTTAAATGAACCATGTATGGGACCAAGGAGGGCAGGATGCAGACCCATGGTATTAAAATTTCAAATTAATTACCAACTTTCCTGAGGAGAATAGCTATAGGTTAAGTGATAACGATGACAATGATAATACATTTGTTCAGTGCCTTCTGGTTTACACATAAATTATCTCTTTGCCTCTGCCAAAAGACCCTCTGCTGCTGTTAGGAGCTAATAGGTGGTCAGATTCATGCAGTTCCCATATGTTACCTTTCTTGGTTCTAATCTTTCAGAAAGCAGTTTCCCAGGCCTTTCCTTTGAAGAACCACTAAGTGAGTCAGAACCACTAACCTTCAAGTTAACTTTCTTTCCCCTCTCTTTCTCATAGTGGTTAAGTTGTAACTGACTCATAATGACCTTCCATTGGGTTTTCAGAGGCTCTAAATTGCAAAAGAGATTGCTCATCTTTCTCCCATGGATCTGCTGGTGGATTCGAACCACCAGAGAGGCTTTGGGTTAGCAGCACAACTGCCTACTGACTATGCCACCAGGGCTGCCTTTTAGTTTACCACTGCATCACAAACGGCTTGTGCCATCCGAGCTCCTTCACACTCTGTACTGGATACATCATGCATTTCCCAGTTAAGAGCAAAATGGGCTTAAAGCTAGTAGCCAAAATTCACACAGGTAATATGGCGCAGCACTGAAACAAATTCAGATCTTCTGAATCTGATTAACAACATTCGCAGGCTCGGGCTCTCTGACCAGTTGCATTTTTTCATTGCAGATGCAAAGAGGAAGTGAGAAGCGCAGATGACAAAGACAGCACCTAATACAAAACCACCAGGAGCCGCTTACATTTGCAGAGAAGCTGTGGCGGTCTCCCTTGGACACCGCTGCCTGGTACCTCGCCATCCGCTCCTTCAAGGAGACCACCTCCTGGAGGTCTGACACACTCTCTTGGAGCGTAGCACTGTCTTCTGCAAATCCACTCACGGGCTTATTGGGGCCAACAGTAGCTGAAAACAAATGTAGTATGTTCAGACACATGCCAGGCTTTATCAAGGAAACAGTATCACTTAATGAACAGCAAGGACATTGAAACGATTCTGTTTTCTAAAACACACTGCTATATTTAATGATATTTTCTATGATGTCTCCCGGTCACCCTCTCCTCTTCAGGCTTTTGCATAAACCTTGAGAATGTCCTTAGACTAGCACAGGCTTATATAAATATCAAAGGAAGATATTTTCTTCGTTCTTATTTCTGAAATATTCTGTTATGAAAGAGTTACGAAATCTTCTTGCTCTTGCGAGGTGCCATGGAGTTAATTACGAGTCTATGAACGAAGGACCTGAACCTTGCTCCAGCCTATGCCACCCTCAGGATCTCTGAGATGCTTGAGCTCAGCTCCTTGTTACCACCACCGTGTCAATCCATTTTGTTGAGGGTCTTCCTCTCTGTCTCCGGCCCTTCCTCTTTCCAGACATGACAAACATTCCTTGTGTGCTGACTGTGCGCTGGGATTGTACTGAATATCATAAGAGCGTGCTTCATGTACTTTTCTAACAAGACTGTGAAATAATAGTGCAATAGATTTTTGTCTTGCTGTGTTGTCCTGTGCTACTGAGAACCGACTCACAGCTGACCCTCTAGAGGCTAAAAATTGCACAGGAGGAGATTTCTCATCTTTCTCCGTTGGAGCAGCTGAAGGATTGGAACTGCATGCCTAAATTTCTGTAAGTTTTTTTATAAAATATGAGAACACATAATCATGCAGGATACGAAACTTTCTCATGACCAAAAATTAGTAAGCAGCAGATTTGAATGTGATCTGACTGAACTTTTAACAAGTCTTAAAGTTTGCCCTTTCTTTTTCTCTCTCCTGTAGATCTACAGCTGGCTAAACCATCTATGAGAATTATAGGCTGTGCATTTTTCTTTTATTCATGGAGGTATGTGTTATGTAAAAAAGAAACAACAGTATCATCAAAACAACTTTGCCAGTCATGCATTTACTTCCAGACAGTCTGTTATTTTCTCATTTAAGCATCTACCTGAAAAAAATGCAAGGAGGTAGGAATTACATACCTCAAAACAATCCTGGTCAGTTATCATAAACAGGAAGATCTTTGAGATTATTCTGAGTCTAACCACCTTTTTTTGGTATAAAAGAACTAATTGAACAATATACGTCACTGTGTAGTTAAAAAAAAAAGAGCTAATTCATGATGCTGAGTCCATAGTTATTTACCTACTGTGTGTACAGTGGGTCTTAAAACTATATTTAAAAACATCTATTGCTCTGATTGTGCTATTTCACTACATGACAATTTATTAATGACTCTTAAAGCAATTTGATTCTAATATCATTTCAAGGACTCATTTTAGAATCCAACTGGGTATGGTGTAAGTTTAAGGGTATACATGTACACACGTGTGTGAGTGTGTATCTATGTGTGTGTATCTTTATATGTTGTGTTTTCTTGTTCCCTTTAATGGTTCCTGCCTTTTATTTGTATGGGTGTTAATTAATAGGATGCACAGACTGCTTGGAATATAGAAATCCCTCAGCTTTTCAAAACTAGCTTTCTGATACCTTGCTCTCTGTAAGACTGACTTATTTTTCCAGGAAAGGAAACTGCAAACATAGTGTTCAGTACTTGTTTTGCAGCAAATCATCAAAGAGGCAGCACACATCTTGAGCAGAGAGTGGTACCTAACCAAGCTCTTTCCAGGAAAACTTCAGTCACTATCTCAGCATCAGCCTCCATAATTTTGTACCGTGTCTGTGAACAGTGTTTGCTAATGTTATTTTGGGTTTTGTGTTATTTGATATGATTTGGTGGTTATTCTTTAGGTCTTGGAACATTCTAGTTTTTTCTGTATAAAAGAATAGTATAATTGCATCTTTGTTTTATGTTTTTCAATTTATGAAAGGTCTCACAGGAACGCTCTGCTTTTGCATAAAGGAGAATGTACTTGATTTCATCATTGTGAAACCATAGTTGAATCCACCCAATTTAAAGCCAAATTATATTTTCTCTTCCTAGTTCTCTCATCTCACACACATGTTGAGCTATCTTATTGAATTGTGTTGTTTTACTATTAGTGTTTCATGTTTCTTTTAGCAGGGGACAATTAAATGGACAATTTCTCTGGGCTGGAAAAAATATGAATACATGAAAACGAATTGTGTTGTGTTATCCTTTCACTGAATGTTCTGCTTTCCATAGACATTTCTTATTAAAAGAAACATTCCTAAAGGGAGCTCTAGTAGCCTAGTGTTAAGGAGCTACACTGCTAACCCAAAGGCTTTCGGCTGGAATCCACCAGCTGCTCAGGGGGAGAAAGATGGGAAATCTCTTCCTGTGTGATTTTCAGTCCCTGAAATCCCACTGGACGGTCAGTTATGAGTCAGTTCCAGTTTGGTGGCATATAACACCAACTTGTATTCTGACTAATATATTCTACTTAATATGATAAAAACAAGATACAAAATTCAAAGGGATTAGAAGGTATGAAGCATTTGTGATTTTACTCAAGGTTTTTTATTATAAGAAATGTCACTTGCTTTTAAATCAACTTCAGAGATGATGCTTTATTTTAAAATATTCACCTTTTTATTGTATTTCATTCTACTGGAATATGTCTGGGATTAATGGTTAGGATGTCAGTGGCCTGAACATTAAGTGGGTTGGTCACCACACTGTGACCTTTTAGGCTGATGATACAAAAATCATTACTTTTATATATATATATACCACATGTTTCTGGAAACTATGAACTTTGAGAAACTATGATAGTTATATATAGGGTTCAGGTCTTTTGTTCATAGGGTCGCTATGGGTCATACTTAACTGGACAGCATCAACAATAATGATTATTATTATTTTAATCAGTAAGTTTGCCTCTTAACTTGGAGAGGAGAAAACCCAAAAGACAATTCATGGATATTCCACTTGGGCAAGAATTGGACTATGCTTTCTAGGTTAGTCAGTGGCTGTGAGTTTCAGAAGTTATTTACCAAGTCTTTCTTTCCTGGCACCTCTGCACAGACTCAAACTTCCAATCTTTTCATTAGTAGAAGATCAATTATTTGTACCATCCAGGGACTCCTTCCCAATATTAACAACACAAACCACTGTGTTAGAATGCATTTGCCTCTGGGATTAAGTGCTCATTCATCAGCTGTTGGTCAGATGAGTAAACTAAAGCCCAAAGTTCAGGGAATCCTCTGAAATCATCAGAATTAATGGCACAGCTGGACCTTGGATCCATCATTATTAGTTCTTAGCATTGTAATTAACTCAACACCCTATGTAGAAAGTTGCTTACTGATAATCACTGACTCATATATAATATTAATCCTTTGTATAATCAAATAAACCCTAGAAAGTAAGAACAACTAAGAGGGAAGCATGTTGGAAGAAAATAGAGCACTGAAAAATACTAAAAAAAAAAGGCTAATACCATCAAATCCGATAATATCATCAAAACCACCCAAACTAAAATTCATTGCCATCAGGTCAGAACTGAGGTATAGCTCACCCTCCGTTGGGTTTTCAGACTGTTCATCACATGGTAGGAGACTGTCCGTCTTTCCCCCATGGAAAAACTGCTGAATTTAAACCTTCAGAAAGGCGCCACGTTTGGTGAGCAGCCCAGCTCCCTAGGCCGCCAAAACCCCATTCTAGGTTCTTAGAGAAATGACTTATTACACTTTTTTAATTATTTCTCTATGTACGAACAGTGCTCAGGCTGTTCATTCATAGGGTCGCTATGAGTCGTCTACGACTCGACAGCATTAAACAATAGTAACAATGATGACGACCAAGAGAGAGCTACGTTGGCCTAGTGGAAGGAAGCTGTGCTACCAAGCCGAAGGTGGGTGATTGTCATCTGTGGCCCTCGGCCAGGTTCAAATTGTCTTCCTGTCAAACATTCTTCTAGGTGGTATAGCACTGGTCTGTGTGTTGCTGTGCAGAGGTAACTCGTGGTTGCTGTGATGCTGAAGCCTGTGACAGTGATGTGCCAATCACGGCAATGGGCATCCATGGTGGACAGTGTTGGCTGGAGCTTCCCAACTAAATCAAGCCTGGAAGCAGGAGCGGCATCTACTTCCAAAATGGCTTGTCTCTGGAAACTCTATGTACGAACAGTGCTCAGGCTGTTCATTCATAGGGTCGCTAGGAGTCATCTACGACTCAACAGCATTAAACAACAACAACAACAACAAAATGTTCTATACTAAAGATATATCCAACTTAGGTCAATTTCCCATTTTCTTAAATCACAACAAATTATGTGATTGGGAGAGCTAGTTTTCTTAAGGCATAATGTTTTATAGGTTTGTTTAAAAACCAGTAAGCTAACACACTTCATTTTACCCAGGTAATGAAAAAGCATTTTGCCTTCCTGAACTTTCATTTATGGAAAAGAGAGGATTAAAGAAAATGAAGCTGAAAACACCCACTAGACACAGTAACACAATGTCCATGAAGTAGAGAGTAACTCACTCCAGGAGGCCAATTTACCAGAGTTCTATGGTCACTCACAGAGATGTTATATAACCAACTCTCTTGCTCTCCTTTGTGATGAAATGAAAGCTTTATCAAATGCAGAAAACAATGAGAAAAAGCTGAAGCCATCATTGTATCCTGAAATTCTCTAATTTCACAGTTTCTATGACCAGTAAAAGAATTTCTGAAAAGAATGTACCAATTAAAATCAAGATGCTTAAGATGGTCCATTGCTGTATTTGCTTGTTATGGCTTATTCCTCTCACCAGTTAGAAACTTTAAAAAAGTTTTCAAAATTTCAGAAAATTCCAAATTTGGAGTTCAGTGGTTTAGAAAAATATGTTCTCACAACATTAAGGTGATACACGTTTATCCACATTTCTCATTAAGCACATAATTGGGATGGGTTTTTTTTTTTCCACATAATTGTTTTTAAACCCTGACATAATAGGCCATAAAGAGGACCTGAAGGTCACTGGAGAGTATGCTAAGAGTT